GGTAGTGGTTAAAATGAAGATAGCTTTTAAAACTTCATTGCTAAGTGTTAGGTTCATTCATCACCTTTAACATCGCAAGGACATCGCCAGTATGAATGGCAGTGAGTTGGTCTCACATTCTTGCTACTAGATGTACATGTAATCTCAGACCACTTCCAATCAAGGAGTCTCAGATTGTGAAATTAATTGCAGAAATGGTCATCATCATTATGAGTATGTCGGCACTTGCTGGCAACAGACATACCCAGTGCTCTGAAAAGTCATTTCTGATGTTTCCTACTAACGTTTATTAACCGTGATTCTTTTTAAAAATTATTTAGAAGGTACGAGTGACAAAATATCCATGCTTTTAGTCCTGAAGATTCTATTCATCTGTGGTTTTTGCTGCATTGGCAGGCCGCGCAGCGTAGCGAGAGGTTAAACGTCCCCACAACCAGCCAGACTTCATCTTTCGGTCAGGCACCTAGTAATGTGACGTCATCCCCGGCTCCGACGTACACCCAGCTGCAGACTACCAGTGGCCGGAACTCGGGCTACTCTTACCAGCAAGACAAAGGAGTTCAAGGTACACCTGGCCTGTGGGCTAAATGTTATGGTACTGCTAAGCTCTAAGGCTGACATAAAGTCCATTACAGGTCCCTGTAAGTCCCTCGCAAGCTAACCAGTTACCAGGTATTGAAATGAACTGTGGCAAAACATTCCTTTTTGTCCTTTTTTCAGTGTCATTAACTCGTGACTGGTCTCGTGACTTGATTTGTGACGCCTGGCTAAGACTTTCAAGACTTTTTCAGGAGTGCACTTTTGTCCAGTTGGCTGAGACCATAAACAGTACAAACAGTGAAGAGCAGAGTCGGGCGTTGCTTATCAACTTCATGCCGGGGCATTTTTCAACGTTGATGATGCTGGGCCGGCATGACTATCATTTTTTCCGTTTTCAAAATCCTTCAAAAATTCATCATTCCATTTAACGGTCGTTTATAGCCGCACAAAGTAATCTTTGGGCACTACTCTAAGTTGACAGGTGACCTTCATTGACGCC